AACCTCACGCCCTGCACTGCTTTTCGGTCGGAGCGTTTTGGTTTGTGGAAAGGGGCCCGGGAAAGGCAGCGAAGATGGGGTGTGCCAAGGATTTTTGGAAAATTGAGTGCGGGGACACAGACAGAACTGAAATCCCCCGTGTTGGTCCGACTGTAATGAGAAGAAGGTCCGTCGCCACGCGGGCTTCAAGGGCGGGACTCGCAGCTATGGGAAATTCAATCCAAAAAGTATCGCTGGACTTCCCAACGAGCCGTCGCTCTTCCTTTCGCGTGAAAGGGGGCGGGTACACACGTGGTATCCCGTTTTCGGATGAGGTCTTGAGGGCGTTCGTTACATAACTTTGAGTCCGACGTCGAGGGCCTCAACCAAGTGGCCTTTTCTTTGTGTTCGTTCTTGCCCCGTGTACGATAGTGAAACCCCTTGGCCCGATTACGCTCGAGGCGACGACAATCGTTGCACAGAGTGTTAGGCCAATGAGGCTCCACTGCCGTCCACGGGACGACGATCAGTTCGTTAAATGGCAATAACAACGAATATGGCGGAAAGTGTGTATCGATGATAACAAAACCCGCACCAACGATTCCAGAACACCGACTTTCGGGAGGAAAGAAATAACGTCCTCCGATCTTGGCGACGACTTCTCGCACGTCCAACTCGCATACACGTATTCTTTCCTTATTGTACGGGAAGGGGCGCGGCGGGGGCACGGGGAGTTGGCGCCCGGTTGGATCGGGCCGTTAGTCCACATAGCAGCAAAGATAAGCTCAAAACATATCTTGATCATACATCATTCGTCTAACACTCCAAGCAATCGGATCATTCAGTCGATCAGTCAATCGTCCTTACAATCATGCTAACAACTCTTTAACACGACTCACCGCATGCACATACCAAAGTGAGAAAAGCGAGGTTACCATAATTCATCCATTACGATATAACGCCACCGGAGGGGGGAGAGAGAGAGAGAGAGAGAGAGAGAGAGAGAGAGAGAGAGAGAGAGAGAGAGAGAGAGAGAGAGAGAGAGAGAGAGAGTATGGGCGCAAACCAGGAGGGAAGAACGAGTGGAAAGCAATCATAGAATGTCAGGCAATCTTGTCCAGGAGAGTTCTGGCTAAAAAGCCGAGCGATCGGAATTCACACTTGAAGATACAAATTTAGGGACAGCAAAAAAAATGAAGCACTTCTGCCATAAGATTTCACCATAGCCCCAGACCATACATTCACTCACTTCCGACTCGAACCTCGAACATCTCACTTGCACTGACGATCCCGGGCGTCACGTGCCAAATCCACCATAACGATCGTCACCCTGCCGGCTTAGTCTCGACACGTCCCTACTCGGATCCCACAGTCCGTCGGGCGATCCAGCATACCGAGCGTCAGACTACAGCCAGCTCGTTGGGACTTTTGGACTCGCACCTTCCTTCATAGTACCATCTAGCCACGGCTTCCTTCATACCATCAAAATGCAGTATATGTTGCATCGAATTTGCAGTAAGACCACGGGCATCGTCTTTTCGAAGTAGATCGGGAGTAGGTCAGCTATGCCTGACTGGTTGGCATTAACTTTGTCGGAAGCGGATCGTGTGCACGCATATATACGGACGACCACGAGAAGGTGGTCATCACGTATACGCGTGTCTGCATGATCCGTCTCCAACCTGATCGCACCTTGTATGCCCGAATGAATGGATTTAGTCTTTTTCACGAAATATGGACGGTGACATTCCATTCTGGGTCATCGACTGCAACTGTCTGAGGGACCCTGAGTATCGAAGATATTGGGAAAACGAACACCTTTTTTGGCGATCGAGCTTAAGGCTTCCGGTCTACCGTTGCCAAACTGAGAATGATCGGCTGTGCCATAGGGTGAAATCCTCAAATTCCGGATTACCCCGACACACGTAACCACCAGTACTACGTGAAACCGGGATTCATCGCCATCGAAACTAACTTCCCTCCCTTCTATCTTCTTCTCCCTTATCACAATCTAGCGTCGTCCCTTGGGTTGTGATAGCTCCCTACTGGCCCTGAAGACCGTGCTCTGAGTATCAACAGTATTACACCTATCGGGCCGCGGGATTTATCAGACGAAACCGTTCCGAAGCTGAGCGCCGAGAACATAGTTTCCGGCTGAGGCCTTCCACGTCAGACTCCGAGATCTGCAAAACCCGTCGACGACAAGTGTTTACACAGAGAGACACCCACTGTGTTCCCTCTGTGCACAATGTACGAACCCGCCCCTGGCGACGAGGCCGGCGAAACTAGCTGCCCGCTTCTAAGAAGGGTGAAACCGAAACTGTCCTTGAAACTTGACACTGGAGAACTTAGTTCCGACCTGGGACTCCCCCCTCACTTTCCTAAAATCTACTCCCACTCCGAAACAGGAAGTCGCGCTGGGCGTGAGGTTGGGCGTCACAGTCTGCTTTTTTTTTTTTGTTTGTTGAAGACACAGCCCCGTGGGACAGCTTGAGATGCTGGTAGGAGCAGTCGCCTCAAGCTGTCCCGGGGTGGCTCCATCTATTGGTGGGGAGCAGCACCTGCTGGGCAGCGGGCCCAGTGTCCCCTGTTACAATTGTTCAATACAGAATTAGCATCAGAGTATTTTGGACCAAGTAAGGGGAGTGTCTGTCCGGTACTGGAATGCCTAACAGAATGCCTAACATTAGTATCTGTGCCCCCCTCACTTTATCGTATTTTCTCAGAAGGTTTAGGGTGGGTCAGATACCCCCCCGGTCTTCGAACCCCTTTTGTAATTTTGTAACTCTGGTCATACGTTCCCAGCGTAGGGTTTTTTTAGACCTAGTTCAAGGAAGGTTAGGAGTTACACTCGGTCAAGAAGCCAGAATAGCTGATATAACATAGCCTATTACATAAGCAAAAACATTATTAGTGCAAAAACATTATTAGTATCATCATCATGGTCACCCTCTTTTTATCTCCTATGTTCTATAGGTCTGCTGGTGGTTCATGGTTGCCAACGAAGGTCTTAAGAATGTCTTAGGAATCTGGGGACCTCTAATGACTCAGCCTAGATAATCTACGGCTGATGTGTTCTGAGACTTGCGGAGGTTCGATGCCAGAACGACGCTGGCCGGTGCTGGGGTTTTGCCCTGTAACCTGCAGGTGCAGGAGCGTGAGGCTTGGTAAAGAGATCTGGGGAATGCTTTGGGGGGGCATTCTAAGGAACAACCAAGGGTTGCTGCTGGGACGACGCTGGTCGGAGCTGGGGTGAGTCGTGTCGCCCTGTAACTCAGCAGGGTGGGGGTGTGAGACCTGGAAGAGCTCAGCAGGGAGTATGTCAGTGCTGGAAAGCTTAGGTGGGTTGCTAGGGTCCCGTCGATTTTTGAGCATTTGAGGACTTTTGTGGGAGTGGTTTTAGTTGTATCAGACTGTTGTTCTGAAGTTTGTTGGCCGGGTAATGGCCCCGATTTTGAAAATGGCTTAAGGACCTCGGCCTCCTACGGGCAGCTACCGGTCCTACGCGTCCTGGCCCTTGCAAGGCCCCAAAACCTCAAATGCCCACCCTCCCCACGACCACCGACGTTGAAATTTGATTGACGTTGAAATGTCTCAGGGGGGGAAAACACAACCCTGACGGGCTGCGAACACCGCGAGACTGTCTGCTGCTGTGGCCCAGAATGTATGTCCTCCTTGCGTCTCACTGTTGTTGCTGTGGTTGTGGTCTTTGGGTGTTGTCCGTTGTCCAGCTAATGTTGGGGTCCTTCTACTTGCGGGCCTCTGGCATGAAGGCCTGAGGGGCTTCCATACACCTCTGTAGATTTCATCCTGTCGCACCTGGTTGGGGTAAGGGGGGTGGGACGGGGGGGG